TGAAAGATGGGTAAAAGGCACTATGCTTGTTGAAATAAATGTGGATAGGGCAGAATATATTTAACCCTCTGCAGTACATTCAGATTCTGATTCTACTGTCCAAAGCTTTTGTAGAATTTTTAGGTTTTATCTCTTACTTAATAAATCAGTGTCGTCATTTAAATCACGCAATTAACCAGTGTTACTGTTGAGGTGACCTGATTTATTGAATTTGTAAATCTGAGATCTAAGCCTACTGAATTTTGTGTGAGCATTTTTGTGGATTTTAGTAGCCACTTTACAGTACCATGTTGTCTTGCTTTGCTTGTGAGAAAAGCTCAGACAGCAAACACATCTGTCTGGTTACATGTGCAATAAGAGCTTGTAGTGAGCAACTGAGACTCACCTGCATTGTCTGTAGTATGAAGTTGTCATCTTAAATTTGCTACCTTGTCAGTGTCGTGGTTAGGAAATGTATGTTAAGTGGGTAGATACGTAATACTCAGATGATCTGTAGCAATTATTGCCCTTTTGTAACATCATTCATCATTTTCTGACTAATTACAGTCACAGTATTGTGTGACAGAAGGCATAGAGCCTGGGTAATGTGGAAGCATTTTATCATTCAGAGAAGTCTAGAAACTGTTCTGCCGTGATGCTGGTGTTGTGTTCATATAGACATTTACAGTTTCGTGACTACCTGATCAAAAAAAACATTTAAACACTCCAGCCTTCTCAGCATTACTTGCTGGGGGCTTTTCTTCCCTGCTGAAAAAAAAGGAAACTGCTTGGAGGCAGAGGGAAAAGGGGAGGGAACTTACTATCCCTGCTGGAGTGTTTGTGGAAATACTTTCTGTTTCTTCTGTCTCTTGCCAGTTAAATTGAAGAGTGTTATTTGTTTCTCACTTTTGTACGTACACAGATATATTCTTACTTTCTATTCCTGCTTAAGAAATTGGCCTGATTTCCATTGTTTTCCTCTTGTCAGTTGCTTAGTAATAGATATTGGTACACAAAACCAAAACCCAATGATTTTGATATTACTTTGGATTTTCCTTTTTCTTGACTATAAAACACTAACTGATTTGGGACCACCTTGTTACCTGAGTGATCATGATATTTTTTTTCCCCTGCAGCTCTGCCAGAGTAGGTGTTGAGTTTTTATTTTATTGGAATATTTAAAGTACTCGAAGGAGTTGATTGGTATGCCTAGCAGCACTTCCTTTTTTAATTCTTACTTCAGCTGGAAGAACAGGCTGAGGTGGAATTTGTTTCACTGTTTTGGAACAGCATTATGCTTTGACTTCAGACAAATGTCTGATTTACCATGTGCAGGCATTTGTATTGCTGTGGCTAATTGTCTAAGGCTTGTAGTTGTAGTTTCCATGTCTGAGTGTGATTATGCAGCATATTCCAGGACAGAATTACATTTTCAAAACCATTTAGTAACAACGAGTTACAAATTTATCATCATAAGCTGTTGGAAAAGGCCATCTAATAAATTACTTTAATGAACTGTAAGTAAATGATAATTTCTAAGGTATGTCAATTGAATGAAAAGAATAGTTTGGAATGCAGTAACTCCTGATGATGAAATACTTGGCCTTTTTCTGTAAATAATTCTATATAAATTCTTATTGTAGCACTGTTTGTCTTATTCCATTTGCAGATATGGATTATATAGTTCACCTTTTGATCCAGTTCTGTTTGATTTGGAAATATGTGGCTCTTCTTGTAAAAATGTGTACAACAGCAGCATTGGAGTACAGTCAGATGAAATTGATTTGTCTGATGTTCTATCAGGTATGTATGTTTAGCACTAACCTATCGTGGAAGAGTTGGTAATTCTATTACATAGTTTTCCATTAGCGAAGATGTGGTTTTATACTTTCCATCTGTTTCACAACTATGCAGCCAGGTTGAAGTTCAAGACACTGTCCTGCTTCATGATTATTTTTTACATTTCCTGTGGCCTTAGGGCAAGTAAAAAGCCTCTTTCTGGAATCTGTTATTTTCTTATCCTGTAGAATATCAAGGGTAGTGATTAAACAGAAAGCCTGCTATCATTCCCTAGGTCAGGGTCATCTAGGAAGCATCTGTCACCTCTATTGAGCAGCTTCCTTGAGATATGTTATTATTCATTTGGACTAGCAACACTCACATAGGCAGAGAAACCTAAATGGGTCTTCCAGAAGTTGGGAAGCTGCCACATGGCACTCCTCTACTTAAATATTACAGATCTAATGACTTATTTTTTCCATTTTAGTGGCATTAAAATACCTTAAAAGCATATTTATGCCTGTCCTCTCAGGTTAGTTCATAAGTGAATCTTTAGACCATGTAATGTCCTAAGAATTTGATAATTTTTACCTGTCAGGAAGTTCTTTTCATAGCAAGTGTATTTGTCAGTCACAGTGACTCCTTTCCTCATCTCGTATGCTATTGTCCACCTTCTTCCCATACCTCCCTCCATACAACTCTGTGAATTTGTTAGGATATTGATTCATAGTCTTGTTTTTATGCTAAATTGGTGTATGATCTTAGTCAATTTGCTAGTTTCTCCTTTTTCTTTCTAGTAGCATCAATGTATTCTTGCAAGCTAGTTTGCTTTCAGTGTAGAAAGAGTACAGCATCCGTATATAATTTATTTCTGGAATTAAGAAGGTTACACTACACTTCTGCTGTCACATTTGATAGTTTGACTAATTAAATTACTCTGTTCAGATTTGACAGCATTATCCTTTTTAAAATAACTTACATTTATATAGTGGTTGTGGTAATGTTCAGGTGTTTGTTCCAGAATGTGAACTAACTAAATGTGTGGATTATATTTAGTTTTCTCCTTTGACACTTCGTGACTTGAAATGTCACTGTCAAGAACAAGGTGGCTGATTGTGCAGATACCTATTTCTCTTTCAGGAAATGGGAAAATAAGTAGCTGTGCAGCTGCTGAAGGTAGTTTTACTTCTCTTACTGGACTTCTGGAAGTTGAACCTCTGCACTTTACCTGTGTTTCAACAAGTGATGGAACTAGAATAGAAAGGGACGATGCAAGTACGTTTACTGGTATATACAATTTTCCATTTTTTTCCTACTTAGCATAGTTCCACAATATATTTTTAATTGGACAGACTGACACTGTTTGACTGATTGCCTGCAGTTTTCTAAGTGTTGAAATGTTTTGTTTGTGTTATTGTTGGGTTTTTTTAATAGTTACTAAATGTAAAGTTCAACTTCTTTGAGCTTAACAAACACACTGGATGCAGAATTTATTAATTTGAATTGATTAGTTTCTACCAGAGAGTATAACATGCAAGTTTGCATCTAAGTTTGCATCTTTGCTTTACAGCCTTGTGTGGCAGAAGAATTCCAGGGCAGTAGGTGGCTCTTCTGTAATCCAAGTGTTCCATGTATGACCAGCATGCATGGTCTATAAACCATGTTGCTTTGTAGCAAGAACTGGGTTAAAAGGAGATATTTCTCCTGTTTTTACATTGCTGTGGGCAATTAGTAAGGAACTAAAGGTGTGTTTTATAATTTCTACATACATGTTTTTGTTTTGTTTTGTTTGTTTCATGCCAGTGAGTACCTTTGGGGTTACCCCAGCAGTTGGTGGCCTCTCTTCTGGATCGGTTGGGGAAGCCTCGACAGCACTGAGCTCGGCAGCCCAGGTAGCTTTGCAGTCTCTCTCTCATGCAATGGCCTCAGCCGAGCAACAGCTCCAGGTGCTGCAAGAGAAACAGCAGCAGCTTTTGAAGCTTCAGCAACAGGTTGGAGGCTATTTGGCTATTTTTTAGTGCTGTCTCTAAACTTCAAAAGCTGAGAAAGTAGTTGCAGAGCTAGTTGCCTTTTTTTTTCTTTTCTTTTTTTTCTCCATTGTGTATTTGAGGAAGGAAGAGCTCTGCACTGAGGAGCATTCTTATGAAGCAAAGTGCTGAGGGTGCTCCCATGCTGCTTTGGTCTTTCAGACTTGTTTTTTGTGTATTTTGAGGGTGGGTTGGGAGTTTGTAATCAAAGCTAAGTCTTAATACATATCAGTCTGAAATTGAAAAAGCCCACTGAAATGAAATCACAGCTGCTGACATAGGGAAGTATCAGTCATAAAGTCATTGTCAGTATGAGGCTTGGCTGTGTTGACTCTACTTTGTTGTTCAGTGGTAGGGTTTTTATTATTTTTTGATTACTCTAATTAATTACTCATGTTCCTCAGCAAGTGAGTCAAATTAAATAGAGTTTTAATTTTTCAGCTTGTAGTTAGACATCTGACATGTCTGCATTGAAGGTAGCTTAGGTTTATTAAATCTGGTTGTATAATGAAAGTTGAACTTGTGGTTCATTACTGCTGGTGTGTTGACAAGCAGTATTATGTGCTACATACACTGCTTTGATTTTCCCCACAGAAAGCTAAGCTGGAAGCAAAACTGCATCAGACAACAGCAGCAGCGGCAGCAGCAGCATCAGCAGTTGGTCCTGTTCACAACTCTGTGCCTTCTAATCCAGTAGCAGCCCCAGGGTTCTTCATTCATCCTTCAGATGTCATTCCACCCACACCAAAAACAACTCCTCTCTTCATGACTCCACCTTTGACTCCACCTAATGAAGCAGTTTCTGCTGTTATTAATGCAGAGCTTGCTCAGCTTTTCCCTGGTTCAGTCATTGACCCTCCAACAGTTAACCTTGCAGCACATAACAAAAACACAAACAAGTCTAGAACGGTAATTATTTTCCTTTATTTTACTTATAGAAAAATAACTGTAACTGTAATGGTTACCAGGGTCTTAATTTGTGCTTGAGTGCTAGTAAATATCTGTTTATTTGGATGAGATGTGAAAACTGTGTTACTAAATGTAGACCATACGAGAAAGACGTAGGAAAGCAATATAGTGTTGTTACATTACCTCGAAGGATTTCTCTTATTAGGAGCTAGCTTAACTATATGAGGAGTTATTAATCCTTTGAACTTCAGTAGTTATTATTTTGACAGTACGTGCTCAAATGTAAATTTAGTGAGGTGTTGTCAAAATTGTGCATCTTTAAATCACAAGAGGTTTTCTTACAGTCTTTTGTAGAGAGCAGCTTATTGTAATGCACAGATTTTAATCACCTAATTTTACTGATGTTTTTACACTCCTCAGAATCCACTTGGATCTGGCCTCGCTCTTGCAATATCTCACGCTTCACATTTTCTTCAACCTCCACCTCATCAGTCAATTATTATAGAGCGAATGCATTCAGGTAAAACCACAATTCCTAATAATAATTTTGACACATTTTCTAATTAGAAGTGGAATATTTTCCAGGGCCTTAAGTAAGTTGCTTAGCTACGGTCTCACTTGGCTTTCCAGAGAAAAATATTTCTCACTTTGTATTCTGTTGTATCTGGAAGTTTAAGGCCCAGCATTGGTTGAAAAATCCTGAAGGATTGGAAAATATGTTGGGTCTCTGGACAAAGCATCTGTTCTGAAATAATGCATAAAAAGCAAAGCAACTTCAATTAAGTTGAAGCCAAAACTGTGCGAGCTGTTGTGAAAGCTTCTGAGGTTGTGCAGCTATTTTTAGTCTCAAATGTACAAGAATATCTAAACCTTTGTGCCTTTCAAATAATATATAAAAAATAACTTTGTTTTCTAGAAGTAATATCTCTTCGCAGGTTAGCACACACTGGTATTTTAGGCAATACTGTGTTTTTCCCCTAGGAGCAAGAAGATTCGTGACCTTGGATTTTGGAAGACCTGTATTACTGACAGATGTATTGATTCCCACTTGTGGAGATTTGGCTTCTTTGTCAATTGACATCTGGACTTTAGGAGAAGAAGTGGATGGAAGGCGACTGGTAGTGGCTACTGACATTAGTACACATTCACTTATTTTACATGACTTGCTGCCACCCCCTGTTTGCAGGTTTATGAAGGTAAAAGACAGACTGCATACTTTTATCTTTTAAACTCTTGATGTTTGTTAGTATGTGACCTTTCACCTAAGCCCTCTTCAGACCAAACTCTAGTTGGCTGTAAGTTTTTTATGTATTTTTGACTTGGTGTTTATTTTGCCTGTTTTAATGCAGCTGTGTTACAATATAGTTGCATTCTCTTTCAGATCACTGTTATTGGTCGATACGGCAGCACAAATGCCAGAGCAAAAATCCCATTAGGATTTTATTATGGCCATACCTATATCTTACCCTTTGAAAATGAGCTGAAACTAATGCACGATCCCCTCAGAGGAGAAGGTGAAGCTGCAAATCAGCCAGAAATTGACCAGCATTTGGCAATGATGGTTGCATTGCAAGAAGACATACAGTGCAGGTTAGAAATAAAAAATGTGTATTTACTAGTTATTTTAACATAAACCACAGGGATATCAATGTTACAGACTTTTTTTTCTTCTCATTATATTCAAACCAAATAAGGCTCTGCCTCTGTTGTAGAGTTGTTGCAAGTGAATATCTTTATAGCATTTACAAAGACTACATTATATTCTTTCTCAGTGTCTGTTTTAACAGTGCATTCAAAATGGACCAGAAGTTGTCTTCTGGCAATGTTACTGTCCAGTGTATTGCTGTTTGCTAATGTGTATTGAACTGTGTTCTCTGACTGTTTCCCTTTAGGTACAATCTGGCCTGTCATCGGTTAGAAATCCTTCTGCAGAGTATTGACCTGCCACCACTCAATAGTGCAAACAATGCCCAGTACTTTTTGCGAAAGCCGGACAAGGCAGTAGAAGAAGATAGCAGAGTATTTTCTGCTTACCAGGACTGCATTCAGCTACAGCTTCAACTCAATTTGGCTCACCATGCTGTTCAGAGGCTCAAAGTAGCTTTAGGTGCAAGCAGGAAAACACTGAAGGAGCAGTGTGATCCGAAAGAGTTGATTCAGATGTCATCCACAGAACAGTTACGCACCATCATTAGATACTTACTGGATACTTTGCTTAGTTTGCTTCATTCTTCCAATGGTTAGTACTTTTGGAGATTTTGATTGGTTTTGCCATGTTATTAGAGACAATTTGCAAGTATTTCTGTTTCTTGATCTGTACTTTCCTACTATAAAACTTTTAAACTTTGTTCAGGTAGTGAATCACAGAAATGAGGAATGGTGTTTGAGTTTGATGGGGCCTTAAAGATCATCTAGTTCCAGCACCCTGCCATGGGTAGGGACACCTTCCACCAGACAGGTTGCTCAAAGCCCCTTCTACTATGATTTTAGTAGCTGATAACATACAGTGTAAAGTTTCAACAGTGGCATCAAGCTGGCCTAACCACTTCCTAAAAAGGGGTAGGAGAAGGTGCCAAGGTCCTTCTCCATTTTCTGTAGCCCTGGCTGCATATTCTTTTGCTCAGATAATCATCTGATCTGTCTGATAGCTGCTTCAGTTTGCTGAAGTAGCAAAAAACTGACCAAGCAGAATATTTGTGTTGATTTTATAGGCAGAATCACCTTGTGGAAGGATCTGCCAGTATTGAAGGCTGTGCAGTGCTGGGGTGGATTAGACAGTTAGAAGTGGGCAGGGGAAGCAGAAATTGCCTCAAGGAGGATGGTGGTGGGGAATTCATAAGAATTCTCTACTCAATTCATGGTTTTTTAATATCCAGTAAGGATTTTTATTTTCTAAGCTTGCCATTGAAAGAGTTCTTGGAGAACTGAAATTGAAAAGACTGAGTGGGAGTGGTGGCTTTTTTGTTCGAGTTTTTTTGGTGTTTTTTTTTAAAGGCAGAATATTGTTCTATTGATAGATAGGTCTGTCTGTCTTTTAATTTTCTGTGCCACTTTGTTCTTAAGCATGATGATGGTTTGGTTTTTGCTTTGTGTAGACTCTGGGGGGTATTTGCACTGACATGGAATTGATCTGGTTTTGACCAAATGGCCTGGTCTTAATGAGTTACTTGCAAATTACCATCTCGTCATGTGTTCCCTCCTTCTTTACTCCTGTGCCAATTCATATAATTGTAGTAATTTAAAACACTTAGTGAAAGTTTTTCCTGCTGTGTTTTCAAGTAATTTTCTTTTTAAACATCATTGTTCTCCTTTCTTTAAAGGGCACTCAGTTCCTGTGGTTCTGCAAAGTACTTTTCATGCTCAAGCTTGTGAAGAATTATTTAAACACCTGTGTATCAGTGGAACCCCAAAGATACGACTGCATACTGGCCTTCTGCTTGTGCAGCTCTGTGGAGGAGAAAGATGGTGGGGTCAGTTTCTCTCCAACGTACTGCAGGAATTATACAATTCAGAGCAACTCCTCATATTCCCACAGGACAGGTAAGGTGCAAGTCTGTGTTGATGTGTTACCTGTGGGTCACTGAAGTAATGTGACCGAAGGATACTTATCATTCTCATTGATAAAAGAAATAGGCCCAAAGTAGTACTGCAAATTATAAAGGTCTCATTGCTGTTAGTTATTGCACCTATTTGGTGCTTGCACCACAATAAGTTGCTATTTTTCCTTACCTGGAGGCCTTCACATACATAGCAGGGTTGCTCCCCAGTGTCAGAAATGGCCTTCTCTTTGCTTAAATGTCCACTCATCACAGAGCTTCTCTTCTCCTGCATTCAGAAGCAGGATTGAGACTGGAAGGCAGACTATTAGTATTTAATGCAAAACACTCCACTGAGATAAGGGCAAGCATGTGTAGAGTTGAGCATTGAATGTTAGAAGTATTGATTATTTCAGATTATTGATCAAGGTCTTTCATATTCTAAGCATTAGCATTGTATTTTAATCAAACATATTTGCTGGTCTGTGGCTTTCTGCCTTTGAACAGCAAGATTTATATTTAAGGATATAAGAATACATGAATTTCATTATTACTACTGTTCAGCAATGTGGAAGAGGAAATAAAACATGAGATCTTGTTTCAGACTTAGAAAGCTTTGCTGACCTCTTGAGGGTGGAAGCAAAAATGTTTACCCTAAAATGCTGCATTAATCTTTCAACAATAGAACATGAAATTCAATTCAGTTGCTGGGCCACGTAGTGCTTTCTGTAGCAATCTGTCTGTCTCAGGTGAATGCCTAGAAGACTATTGCTCTGTAAGGGGTGTTTCAGAATATTACTGAATCTGCAAAAGATAAGATCTTAAATATGTAAATTTTATTTTTAGGGTCTTCATGTTGCTTTCTTGCATTGGCCAAAGATCGCTTAGCAACAGTGGTGTTTTAGAAAGTTTACTTAATCTCCTGGATAACCTGCTGTCCCCACTGCAACCTCATTTACCTGTGCACAGAAGAACTGAAGGTAGCCCTCTAATTTGGGAAACTATTTTCATATTCATTATAAGCTAGAAAATTGAGTGACTAATTTTTGGTGTATTAAAAGAAGTTGCTTGTTTAGTATATTTCCAGAACAAAGTTGTCGTTTAAGATGTGATGAATCTTCTTGTTCTTTAGGTGCTAAAAGAGATGCGTCCCCCTGCCCCACCCCATTTTAACCTGATTAAAATTCATTTGATTGCTTTTAATTCAGCTAGGAAGTTTTGGCAGAGTAGGGGGAACATTCAGTGTGTAGACAGCTCTAGTAGCTCTAGTGAATGGTTTTAGTATTTAACGTTTTGGAAAGAAATGCCTCATTTTGCTCATGAGATCCTTTCTAAATTTGAAGCTTTTGAGGTGAAACACAGATATGAAGACACGTGCCTTAAGTGTATCTGCATGGTTTCTGCAAACTACGTAGAGTTTGGGGTTTTTCTGTAATCTGAGGTATTGACTATAAAAATGTTACTGGAATTCTGTTCTTCAAACTTGATTTTCTTTGAGTGCTTTCTTAACTACCATAAGTTTGAAGCAAATGCTTACTTTTGAAAACATCATGCTCTAGGCTACTTCATGTGTTATGTACTTCATATGTTGTTTAAAATTCTTAGTGTTTTGAAGCCTATAAATGCCAGCTGAGATTCTGTCCTTAGGTTTACCTTGTCTCCTGAGGTAAACAAACCTGCAGCTGGTGTCAGAAGCTGTCCTATTGCTTCCCACTGGTCAGCCGTGTACTTTCTCTGTCATGGCTGTATCCTGCTATAGTCTCGAACTAGTCTGAGGCAATCCCAAGCTTACATCTCCTCTACCTCTGTTTGCACTCTCCCCACAGCTTCCAATTCCTTTCATAACTCTTGCCTTACTAGTTGTCCTCATGGAGGACTTTAGGAAGCAGAAGTAACTGATACTTCAGAGCTTTATTTGCTGGTCTTCCAGCTTCCTTCCTCCTGGACAGTACAGGTGAGTACTAGGGCAATATTACGTGTGGTGGAAGCACCAGGTATGGCAGAATAGTCCTCCTTGAGAAGTATCACACATAACTAAGGGTCAGAGGGCTGAAAACTTACTGGGGAAAAAGTCAAAAAACAGGACAGTCGGAGCAAGAGGTAAGTGTTGTGGGTAGAGAGAAGTCATCAAATTTGAGTACGAGAGGAGAAAAGAGGAATAAGCAAAAGATATTTGGAGGGAGGGAGAGATGCTAAGAATTTGGATAATTTTTTTAAGAGATAAAAGGAAAAGAAATGCTCTTGTTTGAACAGAAGTATGAAAAGGTATGTACTCCATTCTGCAGCAGGCTCCTTTTTTATTATTCTGCCAATGGAAAAGGTGTGTGGTGGTCACCAGTGCTTCTCATTTCTTTTCTTGCAATTTAGTCTGTGGTTCCTGTTCAGGTCCTGTTATGGAACCGTTCAGGTCCTTCCTCTGTCAGCTTGGGATGTGCTACTTTCTGCCAGTGTGTGAACAGGAAACCAGAGTTAACAAGTCGGGCTGTGTCCTACTGCTTGCGTACAGCAACTACATGTGATTCTGGGCAAGCCATTTCTGGGCCTTAGTTTTCTTGTTTGAGCTGGACTCAATAATAATCTGGGTTAATTAGAGCTGTTTTGAGGTCAGTGTGTAAATAAATGTGGCTCAACATGATGCACAGCTACAAAAACATGTGTGTAACCTCTAGTGCTAATGTCTTTGCTGTATGGACATTATATAGAAGAATGCCATTGGCATAATGATTCTAATTAAGTGGTAATTTTTTGTAGGTTTCTAGTCTTGTTATTTGGACATTATTTGTAGATATGTAGGTACGTAACAAGACTAGTATAACGGGACACACAAATAGCTTCATTTGTGCTCCTCCATTAGTGTATTTTCATGTAACCATGTGAGGAAGTTGCAGGAAAGCCAAGACTGAGTTCAGACCAGATGAGCTAGGCAGGTGGCACTACCTGGCTACTGCCTATTTCAGTCTCACACTTTAAATGCCACATGTTTGTACAGACAGAAGGGAAAAAACCCTGTGTCTTGCACATCATGCACGAAGAATCTTTGTGCACATGGACAAATGTAAATGAATGGTTCTAAATTGAGCTCACAAGTGCTCAGAAACCTACAAATAATGTACAAATAAGACCAGAAAGCTACAAATAATGACCACTTAATTAGAATAATTCTTTCTAGTAATGTTTCACAGTATGGAATTTGAGACATCCAATTTATGTGCCTTGATGCAAACAGCTGTCATTCTACATTGGGTGTTAAGGAAATTTAGGCATATGATTTTTGACTTCTTTAAAAGAAACACTGCTTAATTTCTAGGTTGAACAGTTGAGGTGAAGCTTTTGACTTCTGACTTCATCAGACTCAGCGAACTGTGACATTTTGTTTTGTATCTAAATTCTCTACCGAATGTTTGATTTCTTCTCTCATTTATGAGTGCTCTCTTATTCTCTTTAAAAAAAAAAGAGACAGGTGGACTCTTTATGACCTAGCAAATAGGTGTGAAGTTTGTTATGGCTTCAAAACTTTATTAAGCACTCAACTCTGTTTATTTTGAAGGAGTTTTAGACATTCCTATGATCAGTTGGGTTGTAATGCTGGTGTCCAGACTACTGGATTATGTAGCTACTGTTGAAGATGAAGCAGCCACAGCCAAGAAACCTCTGAATGGAAAAGAGAGAGAACGATTTTTGACAGGTATATAACATTAATTATCAAAACTTTGATTTGGGTATTGCTTTGGGAGCTGTTCAGTAATTAAAATGTATTTTCAATTCACTTGAAAAATGAGATATTAAAAATGGATGTGATCATTTTATTTGCATTCTTGTCTGCTTTTTATATCCCCTTCTTCTTAGAATTACTTTCTGCTGCATTGTGAAAAATGCAGGATTGATTTTAGTTTGTAAGATATCTGTATATTATCCTGTGACTGTAGGACTTTACAGTTGAAAGTACACCATGTTGAGATACTTTGTGTTGTGAGAAGGGGCAACAGCATGACTTCATAACCATTGTAGTATTTGTATCCAGTATGTTTAGATGTGGTTTTTGTCTGGGTTTTTTTTAAATTATTATTATTATTAACTTGATTAGCTATGGTTTTCTTTGAACGTCTTCTAAAAATGAAAACTGTAAAGCTTTTATGTTATGAAGCTGTTCAGGTATTTTTACTTAGGACAGTCTTATTTACCTCTGTATATGTTTTAATAGTAATGAAAACATGGTGGTTACCACTTCATTTTAACATCACACAGAAACATTACTATCAGTGGTGACAGTTGCATAATGTTAAGAGCTAGATTTGCTTGTTTCTTCAGTATTCAGTATCTGGAGATGCTAACCATTGCTGCAGCATGAAGGTGTTTCTGTGGGGTTAAGTGAGGTTAATAAGATGGATTAATAAATCTTTTTTATTCTGTTTCCATTAGGAAACCAGTGGAGTTTTATAAATAACAGCCTTCACACTCAGAGTCTGAGCAGATCTACTAAAGGCAGCAGTAGCCTGGATAGACTGTATTCCCGAAAGATCAGAAAGCAGCTTGTGCATCATAAACAGGTGACTTCCAGCACGGTAGTGGCTATTTTCTTAGTAGTATATCTCATTTATAAGGTATCTCATTTCTTGAAAGCTTTGGCCTTGGGACTCATTCAGCCTTGCTTTTGCATAGTTCTAGTTCTGTAGCTAAAGGCTGCCTAACTTCTTTGACATTCGTCTTAAACCATGGGGCGTGGGATCTGCTGGAAGAACAAATGTTGGAGTCTGCTATTGCACTCTGTGGCCCATACTGGACAATTAATATAATGTACTTTCTAGATAAATCTGAGTACACCTGAGTGCAAAGCCCTAAGCTGTGATTTAAGAGTATTTTAAAAGCTCAAGTTAAAATTTGAACTGAAGATTGCTATCATATGAACATACTGATCCTTTTAACATCTTATTGCTTAAATTTTCATTTATTCCTATTAACATTTTCTTTTAGCAACTTAACTTATTAAAAGCAAAACAGAAGGCTTTGGTGGAACAGATGGAAAAAGAGAAAATACAAAGCAACAAAGGATCATCATACAAACTTTTAGTAGAACAGGCAAAACTAAAGCAGGCTACTTCAAAGGTATGATGCTCTGAAACTGTAACTGACTTCTTGTCCTTTGTGTGAAAAGACCTGTTCCTGCAAAGTCATTTTTGTCCTTCTTTGACCTTATTATAAGAAGTTGTTTCATCATGGCTGCTATTAAGCATATTCTAATACTGAAAACAGTAGCCATCTGGAAATTTATTCCTCTCTGAAAAACAGTTTATCCTTCTACAGGGTTTTTTTAGGTAGTCATGGCCAAAATCACTAATAAACTTGTAGCTGTGGGAATGCCAGTCATGTTATTAAACTTTGGATAACATAAACCAATAGAAACATAAAATAATACTTTATATGGCTAGCTTTTATGCATGATGCTCTTCTGGATGCTTTCCTGGTTGAACAATCAGAATATAATAATGTCTGTCTCCCCAAACTAATAAATTATGGCTTTTGAGAGTGATTTTTCAGCTTTCTCATAAGCTTCTTTGCTTCCTGAAAGTACTTACCACTTCATTTGTGGCGTCTTGCAGTGAGCTCCAGACACTGAGTATGGATGTAGTAGTTAAATAAATACTTTAATTATGAGATGAGCTGCTGAAATGTAGGGACTTCTGGAGATGATGACTTGGACTTTGTAGGGAATGCAAAAAATGTGTAGATCTTTCCAGCTACCAAACTTAGATATCACTTAAAATATTTACTGTGTAGTTCCAAAAGTACTCCTGTGTGTTACGGTGGCTGAAACTAGGTCCATGGAAAGAGATTTTAGAATGTTAGACCTTACAGGCAATCTAAAGGGAAATCTTAGAACAACTTTCAGTAATTATGGAAAAAAGAAGTAATTAAACACTGGCATAAAAATAAAGCCCTGAGTTTTCACTATCTGTGCTTGTCATGGACTGTTCTATCTTCTGCTTTATTCCAGCAGGTTATATCAAGGGGCTGCTCTGCTGGTGACCCCCTTGAGATGTCTTTAATTGAGTCACTGGCTGAAGTATGCTGTCCAGCTATTTAAGTTTCACTTTATAGCAGCCATGTTGCATCAAAAAAACATGTTGTGCTACAGACCTTTCCCCTTGCAGTTTCTAAACTTCTAGTTATGGTATTACTGTACACTTGATAGTTGCATTTCATGCAATTTTTGCTATTTCACCTACTAATCACTTTCAATTATGACAACCTGGGAGTAACTTGAAATATGTAGTGCCTTTATGAGAAAGTTGAAACCTTGGTGTTAGTAAATAGATCTTTCTTTGGTCTAGTTCAGTAGCTCCTACTGAAGTGAGATTGTAAGAGGCATTTGTGTTGTCTAATGACTGTAGTGTAGCTGATAGAACGAGCTGAGCTGCTAAATGTATGCCCTTGGTGGATGATAGTGTTAATAAAAGGACCTTCTTTTCTCCATTGAATTGGTAGGCCCTCTGTCAAAAAGGTTGTGGTTTAGAGCCCTGATCACCTATCAAACTAGTTGAATTTATGATGGCTAATGCACACTTTGTGCCTTGAAAGTATTAAGCAGCCTAGAAATTATTGATAATTTCTTTAATATGAAGAACTGAGAAGTCAGTGTTCTTGTAAGGATATATTTCCATACTAGATATTTTTCTATGCATTTTGCTTTGTGGTTACTGTAGCTTTATTTACAGGTGTGGAAGTAGGAGGGAAACTTTAAAACAGGCTGTGTTTTATGGTTAAACTTAAGGGTTTAATTGGCACTTCTATGGAACTGAATTTAGTTATGCATTTGTCACCTGAGATAACGTGCTGCCAACACAAATTTCTGCCAAAAAAGCTTTAATTTCGTTCCAGATTGTCATATATTTTTAGAATTCCTTTTATTTTTAAATAGAGTTTTACAGTTACTGTTATTGCTGCCTCACTGCTTCACTGGGAAAAGATTCAGAGGTTATTTTTAAAATGTAACTGTTGTTTCAAATCTGATTTCTGCAGCACTTCAAGGACTTGATACGCTTGCGTCGAACTGCCGAATGGCCTCGTTCCTCTTTAGATACAGAAGTATCAACAACAAAGGAAACTCCAGAAATTGAACCACTTCCATTTACACTGGCCCATGAACGTTGCATTTCTGTAGTGCAAAAGCTGGCACTCTTTCTCTTGTCCATGGACTTTACTTGTCATGCAGATTTACTTCTGTTTGTTTGTAAGGTAAACAGAATATGCAGCATCACTCTCTAGTTGCAATGGAGGCTGCATTAAATTAGCTTTCTCTCACTGCTTTTTTGCTTGCTGGTAAAAATTAGCTGCAGCATTAAAATGTCTAGTAATTTCTGGTGTGGTAGTTTAACTTAATGTGATGGTTTCAATATTGCATTAAAAAGTAGCTTATATATTCTTATTACATTTGTAAAATTCTAGAATTTGAGCTGGTAAAAGTACCTGATCTACTTGTAAACAAAATGTAATAATCATAGCAATTAAACTTGTTATATGCTTTCATAGGCTTAAAAATGAATAGCATATATTTCTCTTTTTAATAGGTTCTTGCTAGAATTGCAAATGCTACAAGACCAACAATTCATTTATGTGAGATTGTAAATGAGACCCAATTGGAACGATTATTGCTGCTTCTTGTTGGAACTGACTTTAACAGAGGAGACATCTCTTGGGGAGGAGCATGGGCTCAGTATTCTCTGACTTGCATGCTGCAGGATATCCTAGCAGGTTGGGTTTCAGATTGTATTTTTCAGAATGTACATTGCACTTGAATCTTTCTTCCTTTAATGTTTTAGGTGTGTTTGTTTTGGGTTTTTTTAAATTACAGTAGAATCTGCTGACACGATTAAGATTATTAAAACAAAAGTAAAAAAAAAAAATTATATTGCAGTTGCAGTCAATCCTGAATGAGCAACTTGTGCATTGAAAAGTTCATATCTATATGACCCAGATTATTGGAAAATTATTCAGACCTCCTCCCCTTGAAGAAGTAGACCGTAGAGAATTTATTTAGATGAATGAAAACAGTTGGCCTAGACACTGGGATGTTAATTTGTAAGTGGAATAAAGCTTGAAATTACGTTGTCTGCTTAATTTAATACGTAGGAGAGTTGCTGGCACCTATAGCAGCTGAAGCTATGGAAGAAAGTGCTTTGGGAGAAGATGCTGGAGCTTCAGCTGGGGATTCTGATGACTCCCTCCAGCAGGCCACAGTTCAGTTAGTGGAAACAATAGATGAGCCTTTGACACATGACATCACAGGTAAATTATTCCATAATCTTGACATACATGTATATATTGAAAAGAGTAAAAAAGCTTATACTCAAATATCAGTAAAAACGTTTTGGTGATAGGATGATTAGTTTCTGATAATGGAGGCAGAATACAAGCAATTCTTCAACTTAGTTTTATATCTGATCAGTAAAAATGGTTATTTTTCCCATTGTTTTAAAAATAAACTACTTGATTACATTCATTAACCTTTTCCACTAAGTTGTAATGTTGTACTTTTCCATTAAGTTTATGTTATACCCATGTTTTATAATTTTTACTTGGTGGTATTAATACTCTTTTAATTATTATAAGGTGCTCCACCTCTGTCATCTTTGGAAAAAGATAAGGACATTGAACTTGAATTACTGCAAGACCTGATGGAAGTCGATATTGATCCTTTGGATATTGATTTGGAAAAAGATCCCCTTGCAGCCAAAGTCTTCAAGGTATGTCACACCTGAGTTTTCAGGATCACCTTTGCGTGTGAAGTAATAAAATCCTTTCTCTCTTACACTCCATTAATGGTCTTTGTTGTCTCAGTCCTGCTTTTAGCTTTTCTAAATGTTTCTTGTAGAATGACAGGAATGAATGTAAAGATTGTGTTCACATCTCAGTTGACCACAAAATACTTCACTTTTTGCATGAAGATACCTGCATAAACATGAGGTTCTGAGTGTACTTATACTCTAGTACATGTTAAAGACAACTAAAGCATAATATGAAAGAAAAATAAGTCTTGTCCTCTTTTATTACTGGCAGAGTACCATTTGCAGCTGTGACTGTTCTTGAGAGTTTAAAAAAAAGTCAGCAATGAGTAGTACTCAGACTGGCTTCAGACTACAAAGAGGAGCAACTAACTTCAAAATATGTTTCACTGTGGAACCAGAAAATTACTAAATGCTTTCATACTTAAAATGAAGGCTAAATATATCAGAGGAAGTAAAATTACATTTAGATGTAATAGTACATATATTGTCAAGGTGTATGAGAACCCCAAAATATTTATCCGTAAAGAAACACAACTGTTTGTAATGAAATGTTGAGTCTCTTTTCTCGGTTCAGAAGGATGACATTTGGAGTTTGTCTGTGCCTCTTACTATTGACTTAACCCTTAGTCTCATTTGAATTAACCTAAATCATCTGTCTCACCACTTGCTCAGAAAACACAGACTAATTTTTTATGTTCCCCCATATGTCCTTCTACCAATTACCTGAAGATTTTTCTGTAAATCTCCCCAGAAATTGCACTTGTTGCTTAATTTCTGTGTTACTGATGTTTCCCTCCTTTATGCTGCTTATCATTTCACGTGGCAGTACTCCTTAGTCCACTTCAGCCACAGATACCTTCATGAGCTTGTTGCCTGATTTGATGTCCTCTAAAACACTTCTTCATTCTTAATACTTCAATACTTGTTTCTGCATTTGTAAAATGACAGTAGGTATTAAAAAGACGGGCATAGACAAATTGCTTTCATACAGTGTTGCATGACTTCTCTTTTTCTTGTGATCCAAGTGCTTTTATAGTGTCTTAAATTATGGCACGAGTAGAGATTATTCAACACTTTTTTCTGCAGAGTCCACTGCAAATAGTCCCTGAGCCTCACTGAGGCTTCAAGGTACTTTAATAGCACAGTTGGTAGCATAGTGTTCTTTCTTGATAAATAGCTCCTCAAAATATCTGTGTGATACTCTACTTCCAAATTTACAGTATGGTACAAATGTGTGAATAGAAACTGATGATAACATTTTCAAATTAGCTTCTTGAATCTCTGAGACAGCTAACTGCATTGCTGGATTTTGACAGTCATAAAGGATTCAGTAGCTTATACTGCAATAAGAATTGAAATAAAATCTTCTGAAGCTATTGGGTCCAATCTTCTGGTTTTAATTTTTTGTAACTTCAGTGTTTGTTATTAGTCATTACAAATTTTTGGCAGTCCAAAGAGTTGCTGCTTATTTTTTTCCTGGTTTTGTTTGTTTGTTTTTTAAGCCTATAAGCAGCACCTGGTATGATTACTGGGGTACAGACTATGGCACCTACAATTACAATCCCTACATTGGAGGTGTAGGAATTCCAGTTGCAAAGCCACCAGTAACTACAGAGAAAAATGGATCACAAACTGTCAGCGTATCAGTCTCTCAAGGTAAGCAGTGAACTAAAGTTCTGTTCGGGGTCTCTTTTCTGTAATACTGTGTTCAACACTTCATCACATCAAATTGTCTTAATCTCTATGTGCACTAAGTGGAAAGAATTACATTTTCTATGTGTCACACCTTTTTTCTGTGGTAACTGAGAGAATATCATGTGAAATCTTTATTTAAAACAGCCTGACATACCAGAAAATCTTCTTTTCTAACACTTTTGAATGCACTTATATAGGCAGTTTCAAATTTGTCCTGTTTTCTCAGGAAATTTTGGAAGCTCTTTTCTGGTTGGCTCTACCCCTAAGAAATGTATTGGCACTCTTGTTTAGTTTGGAAAAGTACTGCTGAACGGGGGTGATAGATCTTTCCTTTGCCATGCTGGGGGAAAACAACTTTTTGGTTCTTGTTTGAGAGTTGTTGCCTTAGGGAAAAACAGCTTGAACATATTCAGATCAGTCATGTGTGATATTGAAGTGACTGTGAAAAGAAATATGGGTCTGTTTATTTTATTACTGATATATTTCAGGCCTATAAGGATCTTAAATTCAGTGTAAATTTCTATAGTCTGCTTCCATCATCCTAAAAGGGAATCTTCCTGTTAGTGATACTGAGATTTTCTCAGTTTACTGTGTGCTGTATGTCTGTACTGCTTGCACAGGAAGTTAGAGTAACTAATTATGTGTGTCCTTGATATAATTCAGTTTTCCTCTCTTTGTTGCCTCGTGCAGCTTTAGATGCACGTCTAGAAGTTGGACTCGAGCAGCAGGCTGAGCTGATGCTGAAAATGATGTCCACCCTGGAGGCTGATTCCATTCTACAAGCATTAACAAACACATCTCCTACATGTAACTACATGCTGTCAAATCATTCTCTTCGCATAATGATCATGATGCTTTGAAATTTGTACTCATTTTTTGATTCAGTCAGTTAGTAGCTTAGAAAAAGGGAGAGGTCTTTATTCAGATTATTGAATTACATGTATGCCTATATTTAAGCTATTTTGTGAAACTGGTCAAATATGCATGATTTCTTCTGCAGTGCCTCATACTAATTTTCCAGTCTAGGTGCAAGTGAACATTAAGTTTCCTGTGTGAAGCTTCATTCTTGCAGTTTGAAAGTTGCTTTGCACTTGATGGTTTCACCTGTTTAGTGATGAAAGTGAAACTATTTGAGTACAGTTTTGGACTCAGCTGTCCAGTAAGCTTTATGCTATAAAAACACTCAGTGATTTAGTTTGGAACCTATTTTCAGTGAGTTGTGCTGCCCATCATCTTAAAATGTGTTTCTTTGTAGCCAGGTACCTTAATTGGTTGAGTATCTATTGATGAAGTGGGGTTAGGGACATCCTCAGCCTTTATTCTCTGGAAGTTATACCATAGTGTATGAAAGAGGTGTTCCAATTGTTTATCTTAGCATTGTGTTATCAGGACAGTGCTATAGTATGTGTTTAGCATGAACTGTGTAAGTGTATTTGTGTGGACTCACTTCCCAAACAATATTTGTGAAGATGGAGATGTCTTGTATTCAAGCCTCTCACAGTGTGGTAGTCGCTAGTCCAACTCAACTGAACACCGCATTGAGGATGGTCTTGTAATTTATAAATGTTATCCCCTGAAGTATAAAATGCAAGGAAATGATTATGAAATTACTTACAGCAACTTTTCAAAATAATTCATGGGGGGGATGGTACTTCGTTTTGTTTTTCAGTAACTCAGTCTCCTAGTGGAACAGATGATTCGTTGCTGAGAGGATTACATGCTGCTAACCAAAATGCTCAGTTGATTGTACAGTTGTCATCTATACCTATGCTGAGTGCATGCTTCAACAAACTCTTTTCCATGCTGCAAGTGCACCATGTTCAGGTATGGAATTTTGGGCTTTGAAGTGTTTTGTTAGTATTTCTTTCTAAATTTGAAAGCTGTTTTCCTATACTTCTTGCTACTTAGGATTCAGGTAACCTGTTATGTTAAATGCTTTAGTGCTTGTGAATCTGTCATGGACATCAGTACCAATACTGTAATAGACAAGCTGCTGAAAGCTTTTATCAAAGAGGACTTTTTCTTCTTGCAGTGAAAAAGTGTGTAGTTTATACTTAAAAGCAAGTTTGCACATTCACTGAATGATAATTGTTAAATTATTAGTGAAAAGTGTCACTAAGTGTGCAGTCTCTATTTGTGGAGGTTTTCAAAATCCTTCCTTGGCCCTTCTCAGCAGATAATTGGATTGAGTAACTTCCAAAGATTCTTTCCAACCTGAATTATCCAATGATCCTATATGTTAAAATTGAAAGTTCACTTTTTGGCAAGTCATTGGCATAGCAACACTTCTTTTGATTCATACAAAGGAATGCCATTTGTGCTGTATAGAAATGATGAGATGCCTGTCTGTTTATATTTTAATATAGTGGCTGACTCCATTCCTCAGTCATTCTTTAAATATCTCATCCAAAATACAGTTTGTGGTGTAAACAACCTTGATCCTTCCCCAGAATATCTAAAGAGTGATTCTCCTCAAGGGAATTATTCAGAGTGAGCGTCAGTGTGTCTCTGATAGTATAGGAGGTCTCCCAGTAACTAAATGGGCCTTTGGAAGAATTTTGCTTGACGGGTAACATCACTTAACTGTCTCAAGACATTCCAAATCTTAGCTGCAAATCAGTGTTACAGGTGTAAGGTTATGGCACAGACATTTCTGAGCAGTGTGTAAAGCTGTGGGGTTTTAGCACAAGTTGGAAGAAACTTCTTAAGAGAAACTTTGTTATATTTAGAAGCAATCAATTATGAAAGCTTAGCAGAAGTATTTGCTAGTTATGCTGAATTTGCCTTGAATATTATGTTTAGCAGAATCTTCAAATCCCATAAAGGAGAGAGTGTGTGTTATCAGTGAGAGAGTAGGAGCTGAGAATGTGGATAAGGATTTTAAAATCAAAACTTTTATGCTCTAGGGTTCCAAG